CAGTGACACGTTCTATCACACCGGGAATCCATCCCATATACAGCTAATACAGTGACACGTTCTATCACAGTGGGAATCCATCCCATATACAGCTAATACAGTGACAGGTCCTATCACACCGGGAATCCATCCCATATACAGCTAATACAGTGACACGTTCTATCACACCAGGAATCCATCCCATATACAGCTAATACAATGACAGGTCCTATCACAGTGGGAATCCATCCCATATACAGCTAATACAGTGACACGTTCTATCACAGTGGGAATCCATCCCATATACAGCTAATACAGTTACAGGTTCTATCACACCGGGAATCCATCCCATATACAGCTAATACAGTGACACGTTCTATCACACCGGGAATCCATCCCATATACAGCTAATACAGTTACAGGTCTATCACACCGGGAATCCATCCCATATACAGCTAATACAGTGACACGTTCTATCACAGTGGGAATCCATCCCATATACAGCTAATACAATGACAGGTCCTATCACACCGGGAATCCATCCCATATACAGCTAATACAGTGACACGTTCTATCACACCGGGAATCCATCCCATATACAGCTAATACAATGACAGGTCCTATCATACCGGGAATCCATCCCATATACAGCTAATACAATGACAGGTCTATCACACCGGGAATCCATCCCATATACAGCTAATACAATGACACGTTCTATCACAGTGGGAATCCATCCCATATACAGCTAATACAGTGACATATCACAGTGGGAATCCATCCCATATACAGCTAATACAGTGACACACAGTTGGAATCCATCCCATATACAGCTAATACAATGACAGGTCCTATCACACCGGGAATCCATCCCATATACAGCTAATACAGTGACAGGTCTATCACACCGGGAATCCATCCCATATACAGCTAATACAGTGACACGTTCTATCCAGGGAATCCATCCCATATACAGCTAATACAATGACAGGTCCGATCACACCGGGAATCCATCCCATATACAGCTAATACAGTGACACGTTCAATCACAGTGGGAATCCATCCCATATACAGCTAATACAATGACAGGTCCTATCACACCGGGAATCCATCCCATTTACAGCTAATATGAAAGACAGGTCCTATGACACCGAATCCATCCCATATACAGCTAATACAATGACACGTTCTATCACACCGGGAATCCATCCCATATACAGCTAATACAGTGACAGGTTCTATCACAGTGGGAATCCATCCCATATACAGCTAATACAATGACAGGTCCTATCACACCGGGAATCCATCCCATATACAGCTAATACAATGACAGGTCCTATCACACCGGGAATCCATCCCATATACAGCTAATACAATGACAGGTTCTATCACACCGGGAATCCATCCCATATACAGCTAATACAATGACACGTTCTATCACACCGGGAATCCATCCCATATACAGCTAATACAGTGACACGTTCTATCACAGTGGGAATCCATCCCATATACAGCTAATACAATGACACGTTCTATCACACCGGGAATCCATCCCATATACAGCCAATACAGTGACAGGTCCTATCATACCGGGAATCCATCCCATATACAGCTAATACAGTGACACGTTCTATCACAGTGGGAATCCATCCCATATACAGCTAATACAGTGACACGTTCTATCACAGTGGGAATCCATCCCATATACAGCTAATACAACGACAGGTCCTATCACACCGGGAATCCATCCCATATACAGCTAATACAGTGACAGGTCCTATCACACCGGGAATCCATCCCATATACAGCTAATACAGTGACACGTTCTATCACAGTGGGAATCCATCCCATATACAGCTAATACAGTGACGGCTAATACAATGACGGGTCTATCACGCGAGGAATCCATCCCATATACAGCTAATACCAGTGACGGGTCTATCACACCATGAATCCATCCATATACATGGCTAATACGGTGACAGGTCTATCGCGGGGAATCCATCCCGCCATTAATACGGTGACATATTCTGTACGAGTCCATCCCATATACGGCTAATACAGTGACACGTTCTATCACAGTGGGAATCCATCCCATATACAGCTAATACAGTGACACGTTCTATCACAGTGGGAATCCATCCCATATACAGCTGATACAGTGACACCTTCTATCACACCGGGAATCCATCCCATATACAGCTAATACAGTGACAGGTCCTATCACACCATGAATCCATCCCATATACAGCTAATACAGTGACAGGTCCTATCACACCGGGAATCCATCCCATATACAGCTAATACAGTGACATATTCTATCACACCGGGAATCCATCCCATATATAGCTAATACAATGACACGTTCTATCACAGTGGGAATCCATCCCATATACAGCTAATACAGTGACACGTTCTATCACAGTGGGAATCCATCCCATATACAGCTAATACAGTGACAGGTCCTATCACACCGGGAATCCATCCCATATACAGCTAATACAATGACAGGTCCTATCACAGTGGGAATCCATCCCATAATCAACTAATACAATGACAGGTCCTATCATACCGGGAATCCATCCCATATACAGCTAATACAGTGACACATTCTATCACAGTGGGAATCCATCCCATATACAGCTAATACAGTGACAGGTCTATCACACCGGGAATCCATCCCATATACAGCTAATACAGTGACAGCTAATACAATGACAGGTCCTATCACACCGGGAATCCATCCCATATACAGCTAATACAGTGACAGGTCCTATCACACCATGAATCCATCCCATATACAGCTAATACAGTGACAGGTCCTATCACACCGGGAATCCATCCCATATACAGCTAATACAGTGACATATTCTATCACACCGGGAATCCATCCCATATACAGCTAATACAGTGACACGTTCTATCACAGTGGGAATCCATCCCATATACAGCTAATACAGTGACACGTTCTATCACAGTGGGAATCCATCCCATATACAGCTAATACAGTGACACCTTCTATCACACCGGGAATCCATCCCATATACAGCTAATACAGTGACAGGTCCTATCACACCGGGAATCCATCCCATATACAGCTAATACAGTGCCACGTTCTATCACACCCGGAATCCATCCCATATACAGCTAATACAATGACAGGTCCTATCATACCGGGAATCCATGCCATATACAGCTAATACAATGACAGGTCCTATCACACCGGGAATCCATCCCATATACAGCTAATACAGTGACACGTTCTATCACAGTGGGAATCCATCCCATATACAGCTAATACAGTGACAGGTCCTATCACACCGGGAATCCATCCCATATACAGCTAATACAATGACACGTTCTATCATACTGGGAATCCATCCCATATACAGCTAATACAATGACACGTTCTATCACAGTGGGAATCCATCCCATATACAGCTAATACAGTGACACGTTCTATCACAGTGGGAATCCATCCCATATACAGCTAATACAGTGACACGTTCTATCATACCAGGAATCCATCCCATATACAGCTAATACAATGACAGGTCCTATCACAGTGGGAATCCATCCCATATACAGCTAATACAGTGACACGTTCTATCACAGTGGGAATCCATCCCATATACAGCTAATACAGTGACACGTTCTATCACAGTGGGAATCCATCCCATATACAGCTAATACAACGACAGGTCCTATCACACCGGGAATCCATCCCATATACAGCTAATACAGTGACAGGTCCTATCACACCGGGAATCCATCCCATATACAGCTAATACAACGACAGGTCCTATCACACCGGGAATCCATCCCATATACAGCTAATACAATGACAGGTTCTATCACACTGGGAATCCATCCCATATACAGCTAATACAGTGACACGTTCTATCACACCGGGAATCCATCCCATATACAGCTAATACAATGACAGGTCCTATCACACCGGGAATCCATCCCATATACAGCTAATACAGTGACAGGTCCTATCACACGGGGAATCCATCCCATATACAGCTAATACATTGACACGTTCTATCACACCGGGAATCCATCCCATATACAGCTAATACAATGACAGGTCCTATCACACCGGGAATCCATCCCATATACAGCTAATACAGTGACATATTCTATCACACCGGGAATCCATCCCATATACAGCTAATACAGTGACACGTTCTATCACAGTGGGAATCCATCCCATATACAGCTAATACAGTGACACGTTCTATCACACCGGGAATCCATCCCATATACAGCTAATACAGTGACAGGTTCTATCACAGTGGGAATCCATCCCATATACAGCTAATACAATGACAGGTCCTATCACACCGGGAATCCATCCCATATACAGCTAATACAATGACAGGTCCTATCACACCGGGAATCCATCCCATATACAGCTAATACATTGACACGTTCTATCACACCGGGAATCCATCCCATATACAGCTAATACAATGACAGGTCCTATCACACCGGGAATCCATCCCATATACAGCTAATACAATGACACGTTCTATCACAGTGGGAATCCATCTCATATACAGCTAATACAGTGACACGTTCTATCACAGTGGGAATCCATCCCATATACAGCTAATACAGTGACACGTTCTATCACACCAGGAATCCATCCCATATACAGCTAATACAATGACAGGTCCTATCACAGTGGGAATCCATCCCATATACAGCTAATACAGTGACACGTTCTATCACAGTGGGAATCCATCCCATATACAGCTAATACAATGACAGGTCCTATCACACCGGGAATCCATCCCATTTACAGCTAATACAGTGACACGTTCTATCACACCGGGAATCCATCCCATATACAGCTAATACAATGACAGGTTCTATCACACCGGGAATCCATCCCATATACAGCTAATACA